TCAATCCCCCGTGGGGGACATGTAGGAGGCAGCAGCTCAATGATTCTCATCATTGATGTTTCTATCTCTCTCCCTCTCCCTTCCTCTCTGAAATCAATAAAAAAAATATTTTTAAAAATTCCAAGAATTTAAAAAATCAGTTTGCACTTTTCTAAAAAAGCTGAAGTGCCCGGCCAGTGTTGCTCAGTGGTTGAGCATCGATCTATGAACCAGGTGGTCAGTTTGATTACCTGTCAGGGCACATGCCCGGGTTGCGGCCTCAATCCCCAGTAGGGGGCGTGCAGGAGGCAGTTGATCAATGATTCTCATCATTGATGTTTCTATCTCCCTCCCTCTCCCTTCCTCTCTGAAATCAGTAAATATGTTTAAAAAATTTTTTTAATGAGAATGGCATCTCAGAATCCCCTCGCAGTCCCTGGGTCTTAGGACTGTCCCCCAAAGCCCCACCCCGCCTTCAGGTTCTTTGTTGTGGAGACATGTCTTAACCCCACAGCAGCCTGTCCTCTCTGGCCTCTCATAACCATCGGGCTTTTGTGTTTGTGCAGGGGTGTCCCTGGGCACGTGTGCAGCCGGGTCTGATGAACCTGGCCCAGAGGGCCTCACCTCCACCTCCCTGCTGGACCTCCTGTTGCCCACTGGCCTGGAGCCGCTGGACTCAGAGGAGCCCAGTGAGGCCATGGGACTGGGAGCTGGCCTGGGAGCCCCTGGGTCAGGCTTCCCCAGCGAAGAGAGTGAAGAGTCCCGCATTCTGCAGCCACCACAGTACTTCTGGGAAGAGGAGGAGGAGCTGAATGACTCTAGTCTGGACCTGGGACCCACTGCAGGTAGCTCTTCTTAACAGTGTGTGCTGATTGCAGCTGGGAAGGAGCCACTCTTGGCAAAATGCCAAAGGACCATTTCCTTGCTCAAATCATATCCCTTCTCTCTCTCCACCAGCTTTCTCTGTGCATCAGAGCCAAGTCTCTGGGATTCTGAACGTCTTATAGGCTCAGGAGGCCCTTTTCTCTTTAATATTCACTGCTATTTAGTGAGCCTGTATTCTGTGCTCATAATATTACCCCCAGTTTACACATGAGAAAACTGAAGCTTAGAAAAGTTAAAAGCATGCTTAAGGTCATGCAGCTGTTCAGATTGTCAAGTCATGATTCAAGCTGAGGTCTTTCCAAGGCCTGGGATTGTTTGTTTTTCTGTACTGTGCTGTATTGTCTCTGTTGAAGGTTCCCAGAAGTCCACACATGCCATGTCCTGCCTTAAGTCTCTCTGGCCCCCTCAAGGTGTTCTAATTGTCTTGCCCTCAGTCATGGACCAGAGCTGGTTTCTGGACTTACAGAGCATGACCAATAGAAATGTGGGACCTGGGCTCAGCAGGAATGCATGCACCATGGCTGATTACAGATGCAACAGAGCTTCCATGCTTCTAGCTACAGCAGCTGTGCACGTGTCCTTGGCCAGCAGGAGCCCATTTTAAATGCCAGACTGTCAAATCTGTGTGTGTGTGCATGAGTGCATGCACATGGGGGTTACAGAATTTAGCTCTAATTACAAAAACAATATATGAAAATTGTAGAAAATATGAAAATACAGAAACAGTACAAATATAAAATCCTGATCTCACAACTAAAAGATAATTACTATTAAGAGTTTGGAGTGCATCCTTCTAGTCACTTTTATGTACAAAAATGGAATCATAGTGGACATAATATCTTCACTTAAAATATTTCAGAAATGGCCCTGACCGGTTTGGCTCAGTGGATAGAGCGTCGGCCTGCGGACTCAAGGGTCCCGGGTTCGATTCCAGTCAAGGGCATGTACCTTGGTTGCAGGCACATCCCCAGTGGGGGGTGTGCAGGAGGCAGCTGATCGATGTTTCTCTCTCATCGATGTTTCTAACTCTCTATCCCTCTCCCTTCCTGTCTGTAAAAAATCAATAAAATATATTTTAAAAAAAATATTTCAGAAATGAATTTCTGCATCATTAATATTCTTTTATAACCTGATTCTTAATAACTACATAGTATTTCATCATGGGGCTCATCATATGTATGAAACCAGTTCTCTATTGTTGAATATGTAGGTAGTTTTTAGTTTTTATGCTGCTATAAATAGCCTCATATGTTTTTGTACTTTTCTGATTATTTGTTTAGATAAATTTCTAAAACAAAATTTCTGGGTCTAAAGGTTGTCAGTCAGCATCCCAATCAGAAACTTAAGACAGAATCAAACTAAGATAATACAAGGAGGGTTTACTTACAGAGCAGTGAATTTACAAAGGTATAGGTAGGGAACAGGTGACCACAGAGGAATACAAGGCTATAGAGCCATCAGTGCCCTATACCCAAAGGGACAAAAGCAGGGAATGATGAAATGAACCTTCAAGGGACAGACAGTGGTAGGGGAAGGTGGCCAGACAGGGGAGGTACCAGGAGAATAAGTACTCGACTTCCCTCCTCCTATCTCCTGCCCATAATTCTCCTTTCTCTTCTGCCCAAGAGTCAGGTCAGGAAACAAAGCATGGCCTGTTGATGTAATCCACTAGGTCAGTCTTCCTGGGTGAAGGCAGGGTAGAAAGGGTGGAGACTGGATCTGTCTGACACAAAGGATACGAATCTTTCCACAGCTTTTGTTAAATATTTCAAAATCACCTTCTAGAAAGATGGTTCCAATTTGCATACCCACCAGACATAATGAATGCCAGTTTTTTTAATCCTTCCCTCTACTGAATTTTGTCATTTAGAACTCTTTGTCAATTTGATAGGCAAAATTATAATGGCTTTTGATTACTTGTAAATTCTAACTTATATGTGTATATATTCACACACACACATATTATAGGTATGCATATTCTATGTATTCTCTATATATGATATATATATATTCTGTCCATTTATAGTTCTCCTATTTAATTTGAAGCATAGTGTAATTAAGAGAACAGGCATTAGAGTTAGGCAGATTCCACAGTTCCAGCACTGCCATTGAACAGCTATATGATTTTTGGGAGGTAACAACCTAAGTCTGTTTTATCATCTGGAAATGGGGATAATACTCATATCATAGGGTTGTAAGATTTAAATGCAATAATACATTTAAAGTGCTTACTACAGTGCTTGGCATATTATAAGTCTTCTGTAAATATTAACTATTATTATTATTACTTTTTCATTTTTTTCTACTGAGGCTTTATCACTGTACACATCTATATATATAAAAGCCTAAGTGACCGAACGACCGGTCGACCGGTTGCCATGATGCGCACTGACCACCAGAGGGCAGACACTCAATGCAGGAACTGCCCCCTGGTGGTCAGTGCACTCCCACAGCCAACCTCCCATGGCCGGCCAACCTCCTGTGGCCGGCCAACCTCTAGTGGCCAGCCAGACTCCCAACCCCCCATTGGCCCTGATCGCCAGCCAGGCTGAGGGACCCCACACGTGCACAAGTTTGTGCACCAGGCCTCTAGTTTTCATAAAAAGGATACTAATCATTTCTCTGACATATAGAGAAAACATTTTTCTGGTTTGTCAATTACCTTTACTATAGTAATTTTTGATATATCTACATTTAATTTTTATAAGCTTCAAATAATCTTTCTTTTCTCATTTAATTTTTAAAAACATGTTTTCATTGATTTTGAGAGGGAGAGGGAGATAGAAATATCAATCAGCTGCCTCCTGCACACTCCTCACCAGGCATCAAGATTGCAACCCAGACATGTGTCGGGACTGGAATCGAACCAGTGACCTCTTGACACATAGGTCGACACTCAACCACTGAGTCACACCTGCCAGGCAATAGTCTTTCTTTTGAAATGTTTTTGTGTGTTTTTCTTTGCTTTATGTTTAGAAAAGCATTTCCCTCCCTGAAATATATGCATCTTTATTTCTTATATATTTTGGGGGCCTGATTTTTTAATATTCTAACTGTAATTTATTTTTGCATGTGGCATGAGATAGAGATCTCATTCATTTTTCCCATGTATATAACCTATTGCTGCAGCAGTATTCATTGATAAGTCTATCCTCTCATCACTGAAGAGAAATTCCACTTTTACCTGGTACCAGACAATTATATGTACTTGGTCTTTCTTTGGGCTTTTTCTTTTGTTCAAACTATTGCGATACCAGTCTAAGACAAGCAGTCATTCAGAGAGGCTGGTTGAGAAAGCAGTAGTTATGCACTTAGACCTTCCTCAGGATCACAGCGTAAGGTCCTGATTTCGATGAACTGCGATTTGCTTCACACCCCTCCTTGCTTTGTTCCCCCCCTTTCATCTCTCTCTCTCTCTCTCTCTCTCTCTCTCTCCCTCTCTCTCTCTCTCCCTCCACCCCCTCCCCCCATTCGATTCTCTAGGTGTCATTATAATAAAAATGCCTGTCATTCATTGAACACAAGCCATGTAATGGGCACTTCGCACACACTCTGCTCATGCCAGGTCCACAACACAGGTCTGTTTTCTTTTTTAAAAAATATTTTTTATTGACTTCTTACAGAGAGGAAGGGAGAGGGATAGAGAGTTAGAAACACCGATGAGAGAGAAATATCCATCAGCTGCCTCCTGCACACCCCCTACTGGGGATGTGCCCGCAACCAAGGTACATGCCCCTGACTTGAATCGAACCTGGGACCCTTGAGTCCGCAGGCCGACGCTCCATCCACTGAGCCAAACAGGTCAGGGCATAGGTCTGTTTTCTTATCTCTGCTGTACATACCTGAAGAACTGTGAGGTGGGGACACAAGTGCCCTCCAAGGGCAATGGGCAAGAGGTATAGAGCAGGTGGAGGAGGAGAGGCGTTTTGTCCAGGCTCCCTCATTGCTCATCTTTGGATTAGTCTGCTTGCCCACAGTGAGAGCTTTGCCCAAGGGCACATACTTGTGTACAGCAGAGCTGAGTCTATAATCAGTTTTTCCTGAGCAGTGGTACCTGTGGACCTGGGTTCTTGCCACAGGAGCACATGGATGGGATGTGTTAGTTAGGAAACCAGTACATTTTTTTAATTGGAAAAAAATATATAGAATGCTTCACAAATTTTTGTGTCATCTTTGCACAGGAGCCATGCTAATTGTCTCTGAATCTTTCCAATTTTAGTATATGTGCTGCCAAGGTGAGCCTGTACCAGTACATGTTATTATTACCTGTATTATTGTACATCTCATTCTAGTTTGTTATGCCTAGAACTAGAGCTGGTGCCTTCCTTCCCCTTCTGTAGCAGTGATCCTGGGGGTGGGGCAGGGGTCCAATGGCAAAAACAGCTGGTGGAGTTTCTGCTTGACTGATGATGAGTGGGTTCCTTTTCTAATCTTGGCTTCAGTCTCTTTATCTGTGAGACCATGCGAATGATAGATTGAAGTCTTTTGTAGATTTAAAATATTATGATTCTCTGACATTTCAATTGAAAAAAAGTAGTTTCAACAAAGTAGGGAAAAAGATATGTAAATTTGCCACTTTACCATCAAGCCAACATAAAGCCAGATCAATTAACTCATGCAGAATGGTTAATGATTAAGGATATTTTGCCTGGCCAGTGTCACTCAGTGGTTGAGCATCAACCCATGAACCAGGAGGTCTCAGTTCGATTCACCATCAGGACACATGCCCTGATTTCTGGCTCGATCACCAGTTGTGGGTGTGCTAGAGGCAGCCAATCAATGATTCTCATCACTGATGTTTCTCTCTCTCTCTCTCCCTCTCCCTTCCTCTCTAAAATAAATAAAAATATATATTTTCAAAAAAAAGAATATTTCCCCAGGTTACTTATTTATCTCAAGACTTAGGTGTCCCTATTGTCACCCTCCACTTCTTTCATTATCTAAACTCCTTAATAAAATTCTCTGCAAGCAGTTTTAATTTCCCCAGTGAACAAGCTGGTGTTCTACAAGAAGAGATAACTCTTTGGGCTTGGCAAGTTTTAGAAAGCCTACTCAAACAGGCACACAGGTGTTTCCTGGCTCAGTAACTGCAGGTGGGGTCCTGGGGTTGAACCTGAGTCAGAGCCTGCCTTGCTCCACCGTGCTTCCCCTTCGGGCTTCATTCTTAGGCAGGCTGTTCCTGTGTGGTGGCTTCAAGAGCCCCTAGTACCTGCAATTTCATTCTTCTTTTATGTAACAGCCCCAGCAGAAGCAAAATTTGCCTTTCCATCACTTTTGGAAAAATAACAGAGGGGGGAAGCTCATTAGTTTGGTTGGAGTCATGAGCCCATCTCCCACCAGTCCTAAGGCCATGGGGACAGAGGTCTCTCACTGGCTCATAGTGGGTCTTGGGGCCCTCTACTTCTGGACTTAGAAGAGGGGAGAATTGGAGTGCCATTAATCAAAAGAGGGGGGTGGAATGATGGTTGGGCATAAACCACATTGCATTTGAGGAAAGAACATTCATAAAGTATTTATATTTTATAAAGTATTTTCACATACTTTTTTACCTCACTGCAACCAGATGAAATTTGTAAAAGCAGGCATGGTTAGTATCGCTGTTTTATAGATAAGGAAACTGGCTTAGAGAGGTGTAAAAGTGGCACTAAATTACACAGGTAATAAGTGGCAGAGCTGAATCTCAAATCTGAGAGAGATTTCTACTTCAAGATCTGCTATTCCTTCTCTATATGAAATCACTCATGAGGCTACTTTGAATTACTGTTGCCTATAATGAATTTTATAGAAAGCAGATCATCAAAGCAGTTGTCTGCTGGGACCTAGACATTCATTCTATACAATGAATCCTTGTTGAGATTATGTCTGCTATAGAATGATTTAGCCTTCTGAGTCACTTCCCATACATCAAGCATGTTTACTAAGAGGAGGACCAGCTGACAGAAGCACTTCACCTAGGCAGCAAAAATAAATAAATAAATAAATAAATAAATAAATAAATAAATAAATAAAATCTGTATTTTTGTTTTATGCTAGTAATGAGTATCATTATATGAAAGTTAGAAAAGGTAAACAAGTTAAAAGGAGAAAATAAAAACCACCTATAATCCCATCACTCAGAGTTAACAAATGTAAACATGTGTATCTTTCTGAACTTTTCCCATATGGGAAATACATAAAATATACTTTTACAAAAAATTGTTATTATAGCGTACAGATCTTGCTGTTTCAGTTACCAACATCTTTCCAAGCCAGCGAACTCAGCTTTCCAACCTCATCTGTAAGGCTGATCTCAAGAGTGATGGGCTTCCATTTCTCAGTCTACCCCCTGCTGTGTGAGACTGGTTGGTTCCAGTCTTTGTTGTGTGAACTGTGCCATGATGGAAATTCTTTTTTTTTTTTTTATGGGAAGTCTTAAAACCAAATTGTTATGAACATCCTTAATTGTTTCCTTAGGACCGTGGTTGGCAAACTGCGGCTCACAAGCCACATGAGGCTCTTTGGTCCCTTGAGTGTGGCTCTTCCACAAAATACCACGTGTGGGCGCGCATGTACAGTGCGATTGAAACTTCGTGGCCCAGGCACAGAAGTCGGCATTTTGTGGAAGAGCCACACTCAAGGGGCCAAAGAGCCGCATGTGGCTCGTGAGCCGCAGTTTGCCGAGCCGCAGTTTGCTGACACTTAGGGTGTCAGCCTTAGGGTGTACTTCTAGAAGTGAGATTGTGGGTTCAGAATGTGTGTTTTTAAAACTTTTCATTCATATTGCCACCCTCCTCCAAAAATGTAGACTGATTTCTGTTCAAGTCAGCACTGATTAAAAAATGGCATATATATATTTTGTATGTTGGTAGGCCAAAAAAATTTATCATCTTGTTTAGTTTACGCTTCTTTCATGACTATTGTGGTTGAGGTAGTTTTTAATTATACTGAAAGCGTCTTCCTTTGTATCTTTGTTTTATACAAATCTATTTTGAGTTTTGTGAGTATTTTTATATTAGCGTTCAGTTAACTGGCTTGAGTGTTGCACTCAGGGGACAATTTTCAGTGATTCAACATTAATCTAAAGGGATATTTAAAGTGATTTTCAAGGCCACTGGCCCTGATGCCTATTTTAATTCCATGTCTTAAACAGAGGAATCAGTTCATTAATATTTAAGCAGATACAAAAGGTCATCCATGAAATATGGCTTTCTTGGATGGAAGAAATAAAGTCCAGTGTGGCCTTGATAAGCTGGGGAACAAGACCTCGAAACTGTGATGAGCCCTGGCCAGTGTGGCTTCATTGGTTGGGAGTTTTCCTGTGGACAGAGAGGTTGTAGGTTCCATTCCTGGTCAGAGCACTTGCCTGGATTTCATGTTTGATCCCGGTGGAGGTGCATACAGTGCATTCGGTGTGTCCGGGAGGCAAGCGATGGATGGGTGTTTCTTCTTCCCTCGCTCTCTAAAATAAATGAAAGCATGTCCTGGACTAAAAAAACAAAAACAAAAAAACAAACAAACAAAAAACCTGATGAAATAAATATAAGAGAGAGAAAATGCAACATGATCGATTTAGAGAACAAAAGCCAGTACTATAGTGAGATTCAAAGGGAAAAAGAAAAGAATCCAAGTTGTCAAGAGACCTGGAGCTTCATCATAGTGACCCCTAGAGGCCTCTGAGCCACCGATCACATCGCTGGGGAGAATGTGGCTTAAGTGCTGTGATGAATGATGTTACTCTGTCAAGAACCTTATTTTACATTGTGTATCAATTAGCCTCTAGTTCAGCGGTTCTCAACCTGTGGGTCGCGACCCCTTTGGCAGTCAAACGACCCTTTCACAGGGGTCGCCTAAGACCATCCTGCATATCCGATATTTACATTACGATTCATAACAGTAGCAACATTACAGTTATGAAGTGGCAACGAAAATAATTTTATGGTTGGGTCACAGCATGAGGAACTGTATTTAAAGGGCCAGAAGGTTGAGAACCACTGCTCTAGTTAGTGGATCTTGTTTAGTTTCAACAAAATTCATTCAGCATATATTAGTTTTGTAACTACTCTGTTGATTTTGTATAACGACTGTTAAAACTGTGGCGAATCCAGAGTTTTCACAAGAGAAGAAAAATATTAATAGGAAGGGTTGCAAATAAGGAATGATTATTGATGGTTGTTTAGCCCCAGGGAAAGAAGGCTAAATTAGGGCAACTAAGACATATGTATGTGTGTGTTTTTCCTGAGGGAGTTACTTCCTAGGTGATCCTCACTTAGTAGATAAAACAGAAATGGGCTTAAGGTTTAAGGAAATTAGGGTGAGAGAAAAAAAAAGCCAACAGCAGCAGTTCCTCTCTAAGGAGGCCAAGATGTGTTTTTGAAGAGGATTGTGAACCCACCTTTTCTAGACTTCCTAGGCACCTGCCAGAGGGCTGAGGCAATCAGATAGCCTCCCAAATCCCTCCTAATGTTAGACCCCAAGAACCCTGGTAGTCCCATTATAATAACAGGTTGACCACAGATGATATCTACTGGAGCTGGATTGTGTGGAAAGCTTAGAGGAGTGCAAGACATATAGTGAGACTTTTAGAGATTGCCTTGGGGAGAAAAAGGTACCTTCCATGGGACAGGTGTTTTTGCATTCATTATGTCATTTCATCTTAGCCTCCTGTCTCAGAGGCTGGGTGTGCAGAGGCTAGAGGCCAGTCACCCAGAATTCCAATCCCTGCCTGCAAAACTCTGAAGCTTGACCTTGGCTCTCACATTTCACCCAATCTGGTGATTCAAGCACAGCTTTAAAGAGATTGGCTGTGACCAGAGGGGCAGATGAACTGGGGGAGGTAATGTTACTGCTGTCAATTTGCTCTTCTCAGCATCTGAAGAGAAGTCTTAGGGCTGCAAAGCCAGTCTTTCAAGACACCTCCTACCTCCTGGTCGCCTGACCAGGAGGTAGGAGGTGTCTTGAAAGACTGGCTTTGACTACATATGAGCCTGAGTTTTACAGCTTTACAATGTGCCAAATTTAGCTTCAAAGCTTAGAGAAAGTATCCTCTACTCCCCAAGCTCTCGTTTCCTCACCTGTAAGAGGAGGGCAATGGGCCCTTGGATCTTGTAGGGCCCCTGTCTGATACCCTGTATCTGGGATGGAGAGCCTGATTTTCCCCAGGACTTACAGAAGGTGTAGTTTCCAATGATGGCCACCAGAAGAACTGCAGCTTCACAGCGCTGGCGCGTCACCGAAGGAAGGAAGTTCACAGCCCATCACTGCACG